TGGGTGGGGGCCCCTTCAATTTACAGCTCCTTCAAAGACCTTTTCTACTAGCAGCCCATGGCTTGAAGTCAAATAATCAACTGACTTTTTGACTCGGGGTTAAGTGTAGGTCAATTAGTCAGCGAGGCTTCGTAATGCTAATCATTCAGATAGGTTTGTTTGGCTTCTGAGATGAAAAAGATAAATGATAAGAATGCAACTTTAGGCTTCTAAGAATTTTGTGGGTTCAATAGAGAAGAAATAGAGCTGCTATGTATCTATTATGCCTTTCGACGACATCAATCTTGTTGTATTCGTGTAATTGTTATTCTTTAAATCATAACATTTCCAGTACACTGTAAGAGGAGGGAGAAGTATTTTAAATTGTATTGGCCGAGTATATACCGTACCCAACTATTCCAGGAGTACACTGTGGTAGTTTTTCTCAGCTCCAGAGTTTATTATACTGTTCGAAATGTGGCTCTTGAAATGTTGGATGTCATTCATCTGCATGTTTGACTTTTATGGTTATGTTTAACTTCTTCTCTTCTGGTTCTTATAAGAATGTTGTGGGTTTTAGCTACAACAACACTAATTTAGCTACTTTCGAAGGTTCTTTGCTTAATTGTACTTTAGCTACTACATCACTAATTTTTCTCCTCTTGGCTCTCAAACAGAAAGAAAGAAAGAGACCAAGAGGGTTTAAATCTCCATTGCATGTTTCCATATGCTTTTTCATGCTCATGTCTTATGTGATGTTCTTTCAAGTAGCTGGATATAATCAGTTAGATAGTTTCTGAAGTTAAACACAACTGTGCAGATATGTTCTCATTTGTATTTCATCACCGAAGGGCATGCAGTTTAACCTTTTATTGCTTCTGATTTGCTCACATACCATATCAGATAGAATTGAAGTGTTGAGCTGTTACTTGTTAGTGGTGCTGGAGTGCTGATAATTTTGGATGTCTCACTTGAAACTTAAGAACTGGACTTACTGGGTGGATTATTAAAACTTGGTATCCAGTTATTACCTATTGAAGTATATAAAGCTGTTTTACTGTTGGATTGGTATTTAGTAGGCAAAATTAATTTTGTTATATCGAGTTCAAATGATGTAATATGTTAAATGTAGAAAGATTAATGTCTCAATGAACTTGGATCCTGACACATGAGTTGATGGAATTTATTATAACTCATAATCACCTACATTGGGGAAATATTAATTAGTTGTCTATTGTCGGTTACAATGTAAGCTTTTGGTACATCAGCAGAAATTTAATATATATATCTAATGAACATTTCTTTTATCATTTGTGCTTTTCCCTTCTGCTGCAACGATTTATAACAAAGTTCACCAGCTTACAACTGAAGGTCTGGAAGTATGAAAGATTCTTATAAACGAGAGACTGACATGGGAAGAATTTAGCAAAAATTGTTGCAAGTTGTGGAGTCATGTTTTCTTTCTGAGATAAGAGTAAATATTTGTGATGCTCTGCAGCATTTCAGAATCTTGCAACAGTCTTTATCTCAGTTTATTTATGTCCTATTAACATAGAACTAAATAATTGACTGAAAGCTTCAATGTTTGTCCATCTGTCATTTCTTTTTATGTTTATTTTTTTTTTCTTCTGTATGATGTTTTCTATGTTACTTTTTATTTGTTTTATTTAACTACACATTATAAGCAACACTTTTGTATTTGGAACGATTTTCATATGAAAGCTAAGTTTATATTTTTCTTGTTGAATTTATTGACTCCTCATCCGTCTTGTAAAATGCTATTTCCTGTCTACCTGCTTGTGAAGTCCAATGGTTGTGTCCATTTATTTTAATTTCCATTTTTGTTAAATTGTGTGACTTTTATAAAAAATTAAGAGTATTATGGAAATCTAGTTGTATGCAAAGAATTATGATTTATATAAAGGTGAAAGAGTGAATTAGATTGACACACGTTGAGTTGCTTTAGAACCGATTTTGCAGGCTGGAACCTCAACCGATTTTGCAGGTTGCTTTAGAACCGATTTTGCAGGCTGGAACCGATTTCCAAAGTCATCCGGTGAAACCTCAACCAGAAGATCAGGCTGGAAGTGTGATTTTAGCCAAAGAACCGATTTTGCAGGTACAGAACATACGACTTGTATCATGTGATTGTGTTGTTAAAAATTGGCTGAAACTATTAATTAGATTAAAATTGAACGAAAAGTTAACGAGATAATTACAAAACTTCCCATGAGGATTGCTCTAATTACACACCAAAAGAAGGAAAAAAAAAAACAGAAAAATACAAATGTCATCTTTGATGATTTCAAGCAGACTAAGCCTATAAAATGCCTAATTATTCTTATTTAGTTAACTAAATCAGGATAATTTGGATGCTTCAAACCAAAAATTCTCTGTATTATGGGACAATAATAAGAAAAAGAAAGGGCTAAAATTTTGAGTATATGTTTTACATTACTTGCAGTCTCTTGAAATTTACATTTTTCTCCAAAAAAACTATATGTATAATCTCCCTTATATTTAATAATAAAAAAATGAAGAAAAATTGCCAATTGATAGGAACCTCATTTTATGGTGCTTAATAATTACTTGGTCAGTACTGATTATTAGGTGTGTTTGGTTAGAATTAAGAGTAATACAAGTTTTTTTTATTAAAATGTGTGTGTGTGTGTGTTTTAGAAGTGTGGGGTGCCTTCTTTTTGGCTTTTTGTTAGTGGTATTTCAAGTAAAAGGAACTTTTATGACCTTTAGATGGTAAAGTATAACCTTTTTAGTATAAAGTTCAGATGCAAAGGAATCCAACTATCTTGTAAAATTAGAAATACACCCTATATATTTTATTCTTTTTCAAAAGCCAACTTTTGAGGGTCTTCCTTTATAGAATACAAATTTCTTGGTGAATTGTTTGTTTTAGCTTAATGGGATATTTATATATGTAATCCTGAAAGTAACCGCATTTTTCTGTTATTGTACTGTACATTGTGGTAGCATTTGTTATCTTTAGATTATTGGGAAGGTTGACTTATGAGAAAAAGATACCAATGCTTAATAACTTTACAGACCCAAAGGTTCTTGAAAGGATATTTAGGACTGTTCATTGTGAATATTTTCTTCGGCTTTACTTTTTCCTTTATCTTTTCTACTGTGGAGGACTTAGTGCATAACTCTTGATTGTGCTGTGTATTAAACATGACATAGGTCCTTAATCTGAGTTTCATATTTTCACTATATATTATAGTCTTATATTTTGTTTCTTTGTGACATTGTCTTCTCAAAATAGAATTCTCAATATATTGTCCTTATTCGAATTGTCAATTTAACAAGAACATTTTAGGAAGTATGGATCGTAAGTGGATAAATGCTATGCGCACAAGTATTGAATATGAGAATGGAGTGGAAGACTTTTTGGAGTTTGCTAAGCGACATGATTCCGAAAGTATGAATGGAAAATTTTACTGTCCGTGTGTGAATTGCCTGAACAATCGACGACTATGTCTTGAAGAAATCAGAGAGCATGTCCTTTGCGATGGTTTCAACAAGAGTTATACACGGTGGATTTGGCACGGCGAATTTGATATGCCGAGTGCATCCCAAACTCAATAAATTGATGCAGAGGATGCAGATATGTATGATCGGGTAGAAGACATGATTAATGATGTCGGAGCAGAGGCATTTGAACAAGCACATGTAAATAAGGTTTGTGAGTCTTTGTCTATTGATGCAAAAAAACCTCTCTACGGTGGTTGCAAGAACTTCTCCCGTTTGACTGCAATTTTAAAACTAATCAACTTGAAGGCAGCAAATGGATGGAGTGATAAGAGTTTTACAGAGTTGTTGTGCTTGCTTAATGAAATGCTCCCCGAGGATAATGAGTTACCGAAACCTAATTATGATGCAAAGAAGGTTTTGTGCCCGTTAGGCTTGGGTTATAAGAAGATTCATGCTTGTCCTAATGATTGCATTCTGTACAGAAACGAGTACGCAAGTCTTCAGGAGTGTCCGGAATGTGGAGTTTCACGATTCAAAAATGAAGTTGATGCAGATTCAAGTACACGTGTTCAACGTAAGAGACCACCTGCAAAGGTGCTCTGGTATCTTCCTATAGTACCAAGATTAAAACGTCTGTTTGCTAGTGAAACAGAGGCAAAAAACTTGAGATGGCATGCAGATGAGAGAAAAAAAGATGGAATGCTCCGTCACCCGGCAGATTCGCCTCAATGGAAAAAGATTGACCAACTTTTTCCTTGCTTCGGAAATGAGCCCAGAAACCTAAGACTCGGACTTTGTACTGATGGGATGAATCCGTATGGCAATCTCAGCAGCAAGCATAGTGCATGGCCAGTTCTATTGACCATTTATAATCTGTCTCCCTTATTGTGCATGAAACGCAAGTACATTATGTTATCTATGATGATTTCGGGGCCAAAACAACCTGGAAATGACATAGATGTTTACTTGCAACCATTGATCGAAGACTTGAAAATGTTATGGGATGAAGGTGTTGATGTATTCGACGCATATAAGAAAGAAGCATTTAAAATGCGTGCGATGATCTTTTGTACAATAAATGATTTCCCAGCTTACGGAAACTTGTTTGGCTATAGCGTTAAGGGGCATAAAGCATGCCCTATATGTGAAGAAAACACGTGCTACCATCAACTTGAACATGGAAGAAAGACAGTCTACCTTGGAAGTCGAAAGTTTCTAAAACCGGATCATCCATATCGTAGATTGAAAAAAGCTTTCAACGGTGAGCAGGAGTATGAGAAGGCTCCAGATGTCTTAACTGCTAAAGATGCTTTCGACCGAGTGAAAAATATGAATGTGAAATTTGGTAAGACACAACAGGCAACTCAAAAAAGCTTATGGAAAAAACGATCTATCTTTTTTGAGCTTCCATACTGGCACGAGCTTGAAGTCCGACATTGCATTGATGTGATGCATGTTGAAAAAAATGTGTGTGATAGTCTTATTGGCACTCTTCTCAATATACAAGGGAAGACAAATGATACTCTAAATGCGCGGAAGGATATGGTTGCTATGGGCATAAGAGAGGAATTGACACCAATACCTCAAGGTAGGAGGACTTATTTGCCGCCAGCCTGTCACACACTGTCCAAAAATGAGAAAATAAGTTTTTGTGAGTGCTTACATGGAATAAAAGTTCCCCATGGGTATTCTTCTAATATTAAGTGACTCGTATCCATGAAAGAGTTGAAGCTGGTGGGGTTAAAGTCCCATGACCATCATGTATTGTTCCAACAATTATTACCTGTGGCCATTCGAGGTATATTACCAAAGAAAGTGAGATACACGATCAATAAGTTGTGTTACTTCTTCACTGCCATATGTTCTAAGACCATTGACCCTCTACTATTGGATGAGTTAGAGAATGATGCTGTAGTTATCTTGTGTCAACTCGAGATGTATTTTCCACCTGCATTTTTTGACATTATGGTGCATCTAGTCATTCACCTAGTGAGGGAGATTCGGTTATGTGGCCCTGTGCATTTGCGATGGATGTATCCATTTGAGCGGTATATGAAAATTCTAAAGGGTTATGTGAAGAACCCTCATCGACCAGAGGCATCTATTGTTGAAAGATATGTTGCAGAAGAAGCGGTTGAGTTTTGTACTGAGTATCTATCACGGGCTAAATCTGTTGGTCTTCCAAAGTCTCGCCATGTGGGTAAATCTCCTGGAAAAGGGACACTTGGGGGACGAATGAAGAGTGTTGATCGTGAAGAGTTGTTACAGGCACATCTGTATATTCTAACCAATACTCCTGAAGTTCAGCCTTATTTGGATATGCATAGGAGACTCATAAAGGAGAAAAATCCTCGAAAAGCAGAACGATGGTTAGTGAACGAGCATAACAAGACCTTCATATCGTGGTTTAAGAATGATGTTGCAAATTGCCCTTCCGCTTCAAATACAGTCTCCTGGTTAGCCGCTGGACCGAATTTTGATATCATATCTTGGCGTGGTTACGACATAAATGGGTATTCGTTCTACACGAAAGAACGAGATGAAAAGAGCACTATGCAAAATAGTGGGGTTTCAGTTGAAGCGGAATCAATGCACTTCTCAAGTGCAAAAGACAAAAACCCATTATGTGCCTCTAACTCTTATTTTGGGATTATTGAAGAGATATGGGAGCTTAACTACGTTAAGTTTACTGTGCCTGTTTTCAAATGTAAATGGGTGGATAGTAATAATGGTGTGAAAGTTGATGAGTTAGGATTTACTTTAGTCGATTTTCGTAAAGTTGGATACAAGAATGAACCATTTATCATGGCAAGTCAAGCAAAGCAAGTGTTTTATGTCATTGACCCGAGCAACGAAAATTGTTCAGTTGTCCTCCACGGGAAACGACAAGTATCAGATGATGATAAGAATGACTTGACTATTGATGTTTCTGAATTTCCTTCCACCACATCAAGGATAGCTGTTGAAAATGAAGAAGTTGAACTTGATGATGTATGTGCTGCAAGAAACGATCATCATGAAGGCATATGGGAAAACACACCAATAAATTAATTTTGCCAGTAAGTATAAAATAATCATTTGGTGTTTATAATTGTATGGTGTTTGTAAAATATATTAACTTGATGATATATGTGCTGCAAGTTAATTGTGTTACTACTCATTGCTTTACAGTATACAACATCATTTTATTATATTTTATTTATATAACATCAAGTGTCGATTCTTTTCCCTACAATGTTGTACATTTATTTACATATTTCACTTTGTTGCGTGCAGTAATGGAGGATTTCGATAGTGATGATGCTCACTCCGATTCTACGAACGAGTCGATTCATTCTCAGGGAGATTGTTTAAAGGGCGGGCGTGGAGCAACACGATTGCCACATTTAATGCTTCAAAGCGGGAATAAGAGAGAAATATCATTTGATTGTTATATGCAACCAGATGGACCGACCACAGATGTCATCACCGATTTTATTAGTTGTGTTGGCCTTTTAGCTCGGAGCAAAGCCAGCATTTTAGCAGAAAATTGGAAAGATGGGGTGCCCGAAAAGATTAAAGAGCAAATTTGGCAAACTCTAGAGGTATGATATTTATAAATTTTATTATGTTTCATTTCCTTCCATATCATATAGTATAAACCGGTATATTTTTTCCATTAACAAATTGTATAATATTATTAATTATGTGTTTGTAGGAGATATTTGAGTTGCCGAATGATAGAAAATTGAAAGAATACTGGTTACGACGTGCTGGGGAAAATTGGAGGATTTTCAAGACGAGCCTCAATCGCTACATATTCGGAAAAAAAAAGGGTCAGCTTCCATATATCAAGACTTACCCGTATCTTGATAAAGATACATGGGAAGCTTTTGTTGCATCTCGTCAAACTCCTGAATTCTTAGTAAGTTTTACTTTTGTGTAATATTAATTTTGTCCTTCATGACTACATGTGATTAATATATCATTAGTCTATTTTGAACTAGACCATTTAATATATTTAAATATATGCAGGCAAGAAGAAAAAAAGCACAAGAAACACAATCACACAATAAGTATCCTCATATTTTGTCTCGAGGTGGTTTACCTCGTTTGAAAAGAAAAATGATGGAGGAGAAATACAAGGCCAGGAGAGAGGCCTCGTTAGATGAATCTGTTATTGTTCCCCCCACCCCCCCATCTCCACCTTCTCGCCATGAGATGTGGAAAAGGGCTCGTCTGAAATCAGATGGAAATTATACCTCAGAGGAGGCTAAAACTATTGGTGACAAGATTGTAAGTAAATACTGATACTAAATTCAATCCGTTACTTTTTATTCCATATAATGCATTTTAAATATTATTTTGTGTGCTTATTGCAGGATTCTTTGGAAGAACAATCTTCCCAGGGTAATTTCAAACCTTCTGGAAGAAATGATATTCTTGCAGAAGCAATAGGAAAGCCAGAGCATCCTGGCCGTGTGAGGGGAGTCAGAAAGTGCGTGGGCATTAAGGCTTTTTTTGGACGATCAAATCGTTCAAGTGCAGGTGCAGGAATGGTGTCACGGCAGGAGTTGGATGTCATTATATCTCAGGTGAAAGAAGAAGTTGCAGAACAGGTAAAAGGTGAGTTGATGAAGATGATGCAACTTGGTTCTCAGCCAGGCATTTCACTTAGCTCTCCAGTAATCGTGAGCACGGAAAAATGTGGCGCTTCAGCTTCGGATGTGAGCAAAGACGGCGAGAAATATGAATTGTATGTGGAGGACCCCCAAAGGCGATTGGTGGCATATGGCAATGTGCACAATTTGGGGTCAACCATGCACCATCGAATGATGAAGGATGGAGACGTACGGGTTGTGGTCTCACGAGTTATTGTTGGAGATGCTTTTGTGCCATACCCGACAGATGAGGTCACTTTCGTGAAAGATGCTCCAAGTCAATTCATTGCTTGGCCTCGAAATCTAGTTGCGAAGAATCTAAAGGTAAATAATTTTTTTTTCGAATATCTCCTAAATATTCTCTTCTACATGCATTCAATAATAATTGCTCTTTTTTAATGTTTTGTTTTATTTTATATAGGATTCTTTCCAACAAAAGCAAATGGATCCAAAACCTAAGACGGATGTGATCAGAGATATGTGGAATGCAACGTTTAACATTACACAACCAGTCCATGTAGTT